CACACACAACTAGCAGGATATTCCACAAAGCACTAGCTACAGAGAGCACTGATGACTCGGGTGGACCCGGTGTTCTACAGCAGAGCAGCAGGCACTCTCCTCTGCAGGATGGCAAGTGAGTAGCCTGCAGAGGTGACAGGTCCCAGAATGCAACCCTCCACCTTGATGCGAGCAGAGACATGCTGGGACCTATAGTCTCCTGGGGCCACAAGGCCATGTTTTAAGATGGGAGCGGTAGCAATCTGATCCCATTAACGAAAACTAGCAGCAGCCTTGGGGGTCCTGTCATGTTGCCAACAAAGCCTGGGCACCTCTGCAGGAGAGGGGCATATTGGCAGAAGCTCATCAACACATTTTGTTGGCATCTCCTGTTCCCTCCTGGCCCATTCTGTTAGGTGAAAACACAAAACATCATCAACCAGAGCCCAGCACGAACTGTTCACGTACAAAAAAAAAAAAGGGGGCGGCGCAAGACAATACAAACCAACGGGGGAAGGTTATTGGAGGGGGGGAGGGGTGCTAACAAGCCTAATTCTGGGATGAGCAGAGTCAGGTTTAGAGCCCTGGGCTGTAGCAGGTCTCAGTCCATCTGTTAATGTTTGTAGCATGACCCTTTTCTGTCTGAACAAGGATTGGTCTGAAGGCTTTGCCCTCCCCTCATTCCAAACTAGATCTCCAGTCCCCATTCTTTGTCTTCACATCCCTCCGCAGCTGCTGCCGTATCACATCTCACATTTTCCATTTTGCTGAGCAGGGATTGGGGGTCCTGCTCACCACACTGCTGGGTGACAACAAGGCAGCTGGTGGGGCTCTTAAAGGCACAGCTCCTCCAGTTGAAGAGCTCACAATCTGAACATGAATTCTGCTGTCTCTTAGGGGAAATGCTTTTAATAGAATCCCGATGGCTGAGGAGGGTCAGGGCAAGTGCACACAACAGAGCTCCCACACATATCTACAGTAGAAGCCAGAGGGGAGCAGACCTCTCCCTCCAATACTCCTGATCTGAGAGAGGAAGAGGTATCAGCAGTCGGGTTTAGAGGTTTCAGTGACTAGCTTCTGTCCAATTGTACAAATCGCACTGCACTTCTGGGATAATACAGCACAGGCTGGGACGCACACACCTTCAAATAGGGTCATTTTAAAGACCTTGTGCATGTTCCTGGTCCTCCCCCATAAAAGATACGAATTATTATCTATCCATTCACAAGCACAGAGCTGAGCAGAACTGATGTGTTTGTGCAAAACCAAACCTTAGTGGCACTTTGCTTCTGGATCTCACTTTAGCCAAACCCTGAACGTTTGGAGGTGGTTGGGAATCTAAGCGATTCTGGTTTTAGCCCATCTTACTAAAGATTAGACAACATCCCAGACCCCAAGAGCCAGCAGCTTCGGCGCAGCACAGAGATTCCTTCCAGCGCTGCCAATATTTTAGCAAGGAACTCCCACAAAAATTTGCCCTCTTAGTCTTTGAAAAACCCTGTGTCCCAAGGATGCATGTGCAGCAGAGAGGAAAGGGTGAGGGGTGGAATTGGTTTATTTGTTTTCCATTTAAACAGGCACTTTTTATAATCATAGCCAAGGAGGGAGGAAACACCAACTGGCTAACTTATATGAAACTGCACTTTGCTGGAAGTGTTTATACTTTGATGCTCATAAATATACTGTGCATAATGCTCGCATAGACATGCTCTACTTGGGCAGTCAGAAATGGGACAAGGGAGGGCCTCCTCCTCAGGAATCTCTTTCTTTAATACCTGCTTTTGGTGGAAACACACAGCATGCTGAAGACAAAGCATTTGGACTTCAGTATTTTCATGAGGCCTAGAAAATAAGTGATTTATCAATAACCAAGAAGGATGAACTTGAGTCAGGAGAAGCTCCAGCTCAACCAGACATTGTAGGCTGGCTGCAAGAACCACTGGGAGAGATTCTTTGGACTGTCTTATACAGAAGCTCAGACTCACTCGATGATCATAATGATCCTTTCTGGCCTTAAAACCTAGCAGTCTATAAAAGCTTCTTTCAATTTGGAGCCAAATTTATCAAGTGGTTCCCAGGGTCGCGCTCCACCACATCGTTATTCACGTACCCCCATGTGAAAAGCTGGGCAGAATTCACGCAGCAACTTGTTTTCTTTTGCAGTGCACAGGAGGGCATGTCTGTCTGTGATTTCTGACCAGCTGGAGCACAGTGTACTACTCCGCAGCCCCAGGTTGAGGGTTCAGGAAAGGAACCTGAAATAAGCTGCTTATAACTGGTGTGATCAGAACTACTGACACTTTGCCATACTCCACGTGTACTGCTGTAGCAGAGCATCACTCATCCACTTGGGAGCTCTTACCTAATGTCAGGAAATATTGCTGTACTATTATACAGCCTACTATGTATTCGGCTACAGAAATGCAAGAATCGTACTATACACGAGGGCTTGAAAAAATCCACCCACCAGTCCCAAGACGGAAGTTCTGCTTGGTGAGTGCCTAATTTAACAACTTCTTCAGAATTTCAGCTCTCCCATTTTAAACAAAAAAGTGTCTCGTCCCCATGGTTGCAAAGCAAACCTTCCAAAGGTGACCCACCTGAAATCAACATGGTGCTGACTTCCTGAGTCTGCAGACAGCAATGCCTCTGCAGAATTAGATCAGTCTCACTCTACTGCACTTTGGAAAGGTATGAGCAGCAGCATAGCTGGGATCTAGAGTATGAATATAAAAGATGAAGTCTCCAGCCGGGAGAAATTCACCCCAGTAGAAACCCAGCCCCTCTTCCTTCCCAGCAGCAGGGGTGGCAAAGGGGATAGGGTGCTGTAATTGTCACCCTGGCATTGCCATGGGCCTCAAGTTGAATCCCCGTCTCTCATTTTATAACCAGTAGGATTGAATCCTGCCAGCGTCTAGTAAGATGTGTAACCATGCTACATATGCACATTGTCACCAGAAAGGGATCACAGGGATGTGTAATTATTTAAGCTGGATAGACAGAATAGTTTTCAAATACATTCCTGGGAAACTGGAGGGTTCTCATCTGTATTTTCCAACTGACAGTAAATCAAAGCCCTAAAGCTCCTCCTACTAATCCTGGTAGGAGTTTGGGCTCCAGCTGTGAACAAGAGCTTTGCTAATGGACAAAAGGCCTCGGGAAGCATCCCCAAGTGTGTTACTTCTGCACAGTGCTCATCTCAGAGCTGAAATCCCAACACACTTGCAATCTTTTGGCCTCCGCATCTGAGAACTGCCCTGTCTTCCAACCTGAGTCCTCAGCAACAGCAGGTGCCAAGGCATAAAAATCACCTTTCTGAACCCACTCCTGCTGTGACGTGGCTCTCCAGATTACAGAGTTGACTAGGTATATCTCATCCAACACCACATCGCTTAGGCACATTTGGGGGGTGGAAGGTACCTGCAGCCCACTTAGTCCCATTTTCCTGTACTTTTCTTTAAAGTACAGTCACAGCTACAGATTTTCCTGTACTCTCCAGCAATACTCAACCTGTGCATCACAGAGAACTTTGCTCATTGTCCCAGCCTGGATTCAGACCAGTTCCCTACAGGTAAAAGCCCCTTTATCCCATTCCCAAACACCAAGCCCTCCGTCCTGTTTCACGTGTTAATGAATTAGATAGCAAAGCCACAGCCCTGGAAAATGGCCCCAAGGCACACGCGGGCGCCATGCTGACAGCACACATGAGAAAGAACTAATGGAAAAGTAAATGATTTGGAAAATCTGTTCCCCAAAATGAGGCCAACAGCGTCAACACGTGCTAGGTGAACCAGTCATTGTGTTTCACGGTGACAATGGGTGTACTGCAAGAGCATCACACTTGCTTTGCTCTGCTCCTGCGAGCAGACAGGCATGGCAGAGCGGCAGCATGAGCCAGAACATCTGGCAGACCTTATTCCATACTGACCAGCCCCAACCCCATTTCTACATCAGCTGTTAAGCGTTACACCTCCACCACACAGGCAAGGGGGCAGAGCCACATCTGGTTAAGGATGGTGATCTTTTTCCAGAGCTGAGAAATCTCCCAAGTCACAGGTCTAATGAGCTTTGAGCAGAGTTTTTAACATGTCATTGTTTGTTTCTCAGGTCTAGGAAATGTTGTTACATTGCCATGACAACTTTGAATATCTGCAGCAGTTCTGTATCAGAATACTGAAAGGGCCTGTCTGCCTGAAGCCCTGACTTCCTGCCAATGTGCTTTCAAAAAAAAAAAAAAAAAAGCCACCCTACTACTTTATTTGGCTTTGCATGAACTGAGTCTAAACCAGTAATCCACAGCTTTTAAACCAGGCTGGGGCAAACCGCACCTCTGTAAATGGGGCAAGGCCAGAGGCAATGCTTATAGTGAGCAGTAAGGCAGGGGGACAGTAAACGGGCTTGTGAACCAGACCCGGAGCCTGTCCCCCAGGCCAGCACCCCACAGTGATCTGCACAGACCCTGCTGCTCCCTCTAGCAGCTGTACCTGGCAGCCTCTTTATGGACTTTCCTACAGCACCGAGCTCCAGGCAGCCCCTGAGCGGGGCTTCCACAGCCACCGAGCCGTGCCCGCTGCTCTCAGACCAGCCTCCTCCTGGAACACGAGCCCGCTGCTCGGCAGGGGGCCTGGACACAGCCCGGCCCGGCCGCCCTCCGAGCCAGGGCCGCGGCTGACAAGCGATGAACCTGACATCACCCATACACAAACCTAACGGCTCCGCAGCCGCTCCCCGCCCAGGGCCGTGCCCCGCCCCGGCACAGCTGGCCTTTGGGGGCGGGAGAAGCGAGAGCCCGGGGCACAACACAGCTGGAGCCCGAGTGACACCCACCCGCCCCAGCACCTAGCAACCCCCGATGTGCCGGGTCCTCCTGCCCCGGCCAGTGACCCAAAACCCCCGCCCGCCTGCCGCCCGGCCCCGATACAGCTCCCGCTTCAGCAACTCCCTGCGCCAGGTCCCCTCCGAGCCCTGCCACGCCCCGTGGCCCTGCGTGCCCCCTGCCCCGCGCCCGGCCAGCCCCGCACCTTGAGATAGTCGTTCTCGGAGCGCAACTCCTCCAGCTCCCGCGCCAGGCCCTCCTGCCCCGCGTCCAGCAGCTCCTCGGCGAGGTCGGAGAAGGCCAGCGAGGTGCTGAGGTGCAGGCGGCTGCTGGCCATGGAGACGGCGGAGGGCTCGTCGGGCGGCGGCGAGATGCCCTGGCCGGAGAGCAGGGCCGGGGCGCTGCCCGGGGACTCGGGGTCGCTGCCGCTGAGCCCCAGCTCCAGCGAGAGCAGCTTGGCCTCCTCCGAGGCGCTGCAGTCCGAGCCCTCCGAGCTGCTGTCCGTCAGGCTCAGGGGGGGCGGCGGCTCCTCCCCGGCTGGCCCCCGGCACCGCCCCTTCGCCTTGGCCCCGGCCCGGCCCGGAGCCCCCTTCCCGGAGCCCCGGCCCCCGGCGGGCTGCGGCTGCTTCCCCTTCTTCTCGGGCCGCCCGTCTTTGCCCCCGCCCGGCCGCCGCGAGTGCCCGGGCCCCGCGCCCTGCTTCCCGCAGAGCGAGGCCGGCGAGCCGGGGTGGCTGCCGCGCCGGCTCTTGGCCAGGGACCAGCCGGGCACATCCTTGGGTCTGGCCGGGGACGGCGCCCGCTGCAGCTTCTTCTTCTCGGGCGGCGGCGCTGGGGCCGGGCTGACGGGCTGGCTCGGCTCCGCCTCGGCCGCTTCCATGCCGGCTGCGCGCTGCTCACCGGCCCCGGAGCCTCGGGCAGAAGGCGCGCATCCCTCTGGGCGCGCCGGGGATCGCAGCGCCGGCCCGGGAGCTCCGCTGCTCGCTCCGGGAGCTGCGGCGCGCCCCGCTAGCCGGACGCTCTGGCTGGGAGCTCGGGATCGGCGCGCTGGTCCCTGCTGCGCCCGGGAACTGGCTGCCTGCTGGGCTGTAATCAGCGCCTGGTGTCCCTAACCGCGTCCCTTTGCCACGCCACGGGGATGCCTCCTGCGCCGGCAGCAGCGCTGCTCCGTCTGGGTGTCTCCGCCCAGCAGCCGCCGAGACGGTGACGCGCACGGTCTGGGAACAAAAGGCGGAGACGGGCGCCAGAGGGGCAGTGGGATCCTCAAGGCAACAGCGACCCCTTCTCTGCCTGGGCTGCGAGGGGGAATTTCCTCCCGGCACAGTCAGAACCGCGCGCCGCGCTGTGCGGGCACTGAGCGGGCAGGACGGTGGCTCGGGGGCGGGGGAGCAGCCTCCCTCTACTGGCCTCAGCAGCAGCCAGGAAGAAAATTAGGGCTCCCTGCAAGGTACCATAGGGGTTGGGACCTTCCAGACACCCCAAGGAAAAGCATCTTAGAGCCCCGTCTGTCTTGTGCCTCCACCACCCCATCCTTCCTGCTCAGCCGCCCCAACCTCGCCGGGCAGTCTGTATTCCACCTTGGTGCCAAAGTCTGCCTGGGATATCAGCTGGCAGCTCCTTCATGGAGCCAACAGCAGGGGCATGTACCTGGAACGGTTCTTCACCCCCTCCTCAACACCTGTCCCTTCTGCGGCATGAGGGAGACCCTGGTGCACGTCTACCTGGAGTTTACCAGACTGCAGCCCCTTTTCCGGCTCCTCCAGAGCCTTCTCCTCAGGTTCTGGTTGCATTTTTTCCCCGCACCTCCTGATCTACGCTCACCCCATCCATGGCCCCACAAAGTCACGAGACCTCCTCATCAACCTCCTCCTGGCACTGGCCAAAGCGATCATCCACCATACCAGGAGGAGGAAGGTGCTTTGCGACTGTGGGGCCTATTTCTGCTCCTCCCTCAGATCACGTATCTGGGCAGAGTTCCTCTGGGCTGCATCCACTGGTCCCTGGAAGCCTTCGAGGAGCAGTGGGCGCTGTCTGGGATTCTCTGCTTGGTGTTCCCTTCCGGCTCCCTACTTTTGACCCTATGACCCTCACTCCTGTCCCCTGTTCATTAGTTGTCCCCTGACTTCAGTTGAGAACTTGGTTCAGTGGCTCCTCCCCTTAGGCTTGGGAGGGGCCTTTAGAGCAGGATGGGCTTGCGCTCACCCTTCCCCAGATCTTCAGTAGGTGCCCTAACTTCCCACCCCATGTAAGTTTTTTGTGAAATGCTTATTGTCAGCTGTGGTGCAATTCTTTTTGTGATACTGACCATATCACCACTAAAGTCTGTTCTTCAGTCTCTCTAAGAGAAACACTGTCTTTGATGTAGCTGCTGCTATACAAGTTATACCCACATTGCAAACATTTACAAAACATCGTAAACATGGTAGGACTCGGGGCATGTGAGGGGCCTGCAGAAATACAGCAAAGAAGACACAAAGTAGTAAAGAGCCTTCCTATAAAGCAGGGGTCTCAAACACGTGGCCTGCTGAGTTATTTCCCGTGGCCTGCCATAGGTGCCGACTCTGGGTGCTCTGGGGCTGGAGCACCCACGGGGAAAAATTAGTGAGTGCTCTGCACCCACCAGCAGCCAAGCTCCCCTCCTCCACCCGCCTCACCTCCTCCTCGCCCTCCCCCCCGAGCACACCACGTCCCCGCTCCTCCACTTATCTCCCAGCGCTTCCTGCTGCCAAACAGCTGTTTGCATGCTCTGAAGGGGTGGGGGAAGCTGGAATGTGGCGCGCTCAGGGGAGGAGGTGGGACTGGGGTGGGGATTTGGGGAAGGGGTTGGAATAGGGGCAGGGAGGGGGCGTGTTTTGCTGTTTGAGTGAGGTGGTTTGGCATTCTGCTTTAGCTGCTGTCTGCTGAAGGTGGAAGGTTGCAGTGCTGCGGGATGAGCGATGTGGGTGGGAAGTTCTGTTCAGGGCGGCGGTTGGATGGTTTTGTTTACTTGAATCAGATCAACGTGCCTCTATCCCCCACGCTCTCAGGACAGCACCTCCTGCCTCCTGTTACAAGACATGTGCTCACACACTGCACATGCTCCCTGCCTACAAACTGCAGCTGGCTGCTGCCTGCCCCTTCACCATTTTCATTCTTTTGTGTACAACATGAACTAGGCGGCTCTTCCCCCACAGGAACGGTTACAACAGAACATCACCTTGTGGAAGCTAGTGTCCTCTTTGCCTTTGACCCCAGCCCAGGTGCTCAGAGCTGGGGGAGTCTCAGGGACTGCATCCTGCACATGTTGCCATACCTCTGGCCCCAGAGCCCTAGACTACCTTTAAATCAACAGACAGGAGTCACAAGAGACTAGACCACCAGAGCCTAAGCTGAGACCAGCAAACTCATATCATGTAACATTAGTTTGGCTTTAAATCCTAGATTCAGGAGGTGAGAGCCAAGTGGCTTGCCCAGGCTCTCCATTTTCCCTTTCATATCAAATCCCTCTTGGTGCCTCCAGAGTAGCTGACGGGGCAGGCGAGCCATGCTATGTTCAGCAGGACCCCACAGGTCTCACTTAGCTGTAGCTGTTCATTTTTTTCATTTTTGACTATTCTTTTGTATCGTTGTATGAAAAGGTTTCAATCATGCGGCCCTCGGGCCAATGTACTAGTCCTCATGTGGCCCTCGTGGTAATTTGAGTTTGAGATCCCTGCTATAAAGCCTCCAAAGCACTTTCATGAACAACTCTCTGAGCCCTCACTTAAACCTTTCCCCACGCTTGGAGCCCCTCCAACATCTTGCTAATCATCATGGAAATCTGTTCACTGGGAGAATGGGGAAATCCATTTTGAGCCCTTTACCTTAATATGAACCTAACATTCACCTAATGCATGCACAGCCTTCTGGTGGCTGGGCCCTGGCGGGTCTTTGGCTCAGTGGGAGAATTGTCCTTAGGAAAAATGTCAATACGTTGATAACTAGGGGAAAGCCTGGGGGAGGGATATGGTTTCAGAGCCTCAGGCCCTGCTCTTATAGATTCATAGACTTTAAGGTCAGAAGGGACCATGATGATCGTCTAGTCTGATCTCCTGCACAACGCAGGCCACAGAATCTCATCCACCCACTCCTGTAATAAACCCCTAATCTATGTCTGAGCTATTGAAGTTTACATCATGGTTTAAAGACTTCAAGGTGCAAAGAATCCTCCAGCAAGTGACCCGTGCCCCAAGCTGAAGAGGAAGGTGAAAAACCCCCCAGGGCCTCTGCCAATCTGCCCTGGAAGAAAATTCCTTCCCAACCCCAAATATGGCGATCAGCTAAACCCTGAGCATGTGGGCAAGACTCACCAGCCAGACACCCAGGAAAGAATTCTCTGTAGTAACTCAGATCCCACCCCATCTAACATCCCATCACAGGCCATTGGGCATATTTACCGCTAATAGTCAAAGACCAATTAATCGCCAAAATTAGGCTATCCCATCATACCATCCCCTCCATAAACTTATCAAGCTTAGTCTTGAAGCCAGATATGTCTTTTGCCCCCACTGCTCCCCGTGGAAGGCTGTTCCAGAACTTCACTCCTCTGATGGTTAGAAACCTTCGTCTAATTTCAAGTCTAAACTTCCTGATGGCCAGTTTATATCCATTTGTTCATGTGTTCACATTGGTACTGAGCTTAAATAATTCCTCTCCCTCCCTGGTATTTATCTCTCTGATATATTTATAGAGAGCAATCATATCTCCCCTCAGCCTTCTTTTGGTTAGGCTAAACAAGCCAAGGTCTGTGAGTCTCCTTTCATAAGACAGGTTTCCAATATACCCTGTCATAAATCCCAAATTGTTATTTAAAATGTTCAGATTAATCCAAAAAGGGGAGCGTACTATGGGACCATAAACTTTGTCTCACATGGTTCATACACACACTCTACTTACAGCCATGTTTTTGAACGCAGCCTCTAAAATTGCTCTTGCAAACGGGTGTGTGTACAGAAACTCAGATTTGGATGTGCAAACTACATTTGCATGCATGCAGTTAGTAGGCCTCTAAGTGTCCAGAGTGCATGCACAGACACAGCTTTACACACACAAATCCACATTTTCTGTGTGCAGAAAAATGGCAGGCACCACTCAGAGTCTGCTTTGGAAAATGCCTTGTTGAAAAGGTCCCTGTAGCCTGAGCCCATCAGACTGCAGGGTGAAGGCAAAGCTGTCTAGCTAGTGTCATTTATACAGAACTTTGCACCATAGCCTTTAAGCACTGATTAGCTTCAGGTTTGTAATGCCAGAGAACACAGCGTCCAAGCTATTCCTTTTCCTCTCTGGAGGAAAATACAAATCCAGGCAAGTACTCTAGCAAGCTGCATTCATCTTTAATTTTAAATAGAGGTCTATGCACAATAGAGTTGGTTCCTAGATTCCTGGCAAGTCACCTATGTGGCCTCCTCACAGACATAATGTTCGGGGACCCCTACTTTACAGTACCCCAGACTTTATTGTCACCCAGAAGTACAAGAAAAGCCATGTCCACACTCCTCTGCTTTCTTTAGTGCCAAAGGCTGCT